TATGAAGCAGGTATATGGAAACATAACTTAATTATTAGAATAATGTCTATAAATAAATGACGAATCTCTCAATCTATCTGATTAAGCACTTTCCATAAACCCTTCAAATAGTCTACCTCTTGAATCCGAAGTTTAATCCGAAGGTATCAAATTTTTTTATTTGCAGGTAAATGTTTACAAGATTAATAATAATAAGAAGTAGCTTTGAATTCTTAAGACAATTCATTACAGATAGAACCAATTAATATATAGTCATAAATATATAAGGGTATTCTTGACTGTTAAATTAGAATTTTGCTAGGATAAATTGCAATAATGAGTATATAAATTTTAAATATAATGATTTAATTCTTTATAAATGATTTGATAATAATATTTTATTACTTATAATGTAAAATATAATTATACAATATTAATGTGTAGAAATAGAGCATGAATTATAAATTTGTGCTCTTTTAAATCGAAGTTTCTTAAAAGAAAAGTTTTTGCATAATTGACAGAATAGATATAATAAAACTACAAAATGATTGATATTCAAAATAAATAGTTTTTATATATCATTAATAAAAATACAAATTCAGCGGTATCTTCATATATTGATTTAGAAAAATTAGTTTAAATTTTTGATGGAACTGCATTAAATTTTTGGAATAATAAGAAAAATTCATATTTGATTAAACTGAAAGAACTAAAGAAATGGTGGAGTTAAGAAATATAAGTTTTTAATGAAATGGTGAAGAATAAAATGAAAGTAATTTTATCATTAAAATTTAAATCTTTAGAACCAAAACGTGTAATATTATGTTTTTAAATTGAAAAATAATTAAAAACATTAACTACATCCAAATAGAATTCCTTTTAAATACTAGAGTAGTAATTAAAGGAGAAAAAAGAAATTCTAAAATTATGTAATAATAAAGTAAATATTATAAAATTTTAATTTTCTAATTTTAAGATGACAATTCAATTGTTAAAGATAAAATTAGACCTAATTAATATAACCCTATCGAATTAAATATTCTTTGAAAATTTCCTAATATATAAATTAAATACACTGCAACCATAAGAAGCGAATCATCAATAAAACAAAATGTCAGGTCTAGAGGCGAAATTATAATAATTGCCATTTAACTATCCTAACTTATCTGTTTAGATTTGGTGAACAAATTAAAGTTCATGTATTATTCAAATTTATATTAAAAATTCAAAATAATCTTAAAAATTATTTATAATCCATAACAAAATATCAGTGTTGTAATTAATCGATTAGATTGTTTGATTGTCTAGTGATTAAACAAACAAATAAGATAATTGCAATTTAATAATGACTGTTCGATTCAAATTTGAAGCTTGTGAAGCTATTTTTATTTCTGTAGAGGTTAATTTAAATCATCGAAAAAGTTTTCCATTATGTAGGTTTTTCTAAAATGAACCTTCTGTTAGGCTTGTTGATAGTGTTCCACGTTACTTGAGTAATAAATGTAACATGTGATTCTAATATGTAGAAACACAAATTCAGGAAAGATTTGTAAAAAAGAATAAGTAAGGTGTTGAGATACGTAAATTAAAGGGTAAAAAATAGAGAAACGGTAAGTCTTATCTAGACTAAACATAATATTCAAAAACCAACTTCTTTTTAGGCGAGAAAAAAAAGACGGATCAATAAATCTATCGGAAAATTAAATAAAAAGTATAAAATAATAATTTAATAAATACTTTTCAACATCAATGATTGTATATAAATAAAAAAATAGAGATATATTCAACTTTTTAATATGCAAATATCACTCAATTAATCAAATTATGATTATTAAAATTTATTTAAGCAATTGAAACTCTAAGAAAAACATGACGACAATTTAACACAATAATTGAAAAAAACTATAGAGACCATTTTCATCTGTTTTGAAATATTAATCTAGAAGCAGAAGTGTAAATAACAAGACAGGGAAGAACTCCCCAAAATTTGCTTACTAAAAGTAGTGATATATATTTACTAGAAATATTATATAGTAAGTTTTTTCTATATTAGATTTATAAGTCTTAAGCTTTGATTGACTAAGATTCTTATCCATTTTTATGTATAATTTAATATTTAACATTACTCATAAAAGATTCCATTTGAAACTCACATAATAAGCGAGAATAACTATACTGTGAATCTAATATATTTAAATGATAGAAATTATTTTTCTTCACCAATAAAATAATTAAAAACGATCTAGAGTGAGAAGTAAGAAAAGTAGAAAACTAATTTGAAATTTCAACGATTTTATATTACATTTAAATGCAGTTAAGTTTTCTGGACTTTATAAATTTCTAATAAAATATATTTCCAAGAGTTAAAAATATTCTAATATCTTTGATTCATTAATTTTCTTGATATAATCCAATAATAAATAATGAAGCATTAAAGCAAAAATTAAACTTAGTTTAATTGTTGGACATTAAGTAGGAAAAGAATTCTCTTATAATTGTTACAAAATTTACTTTAAAGATTCCAATCAGATTTGGCAAACTTCTTAATTTAGTAATAAGTTATTGAATAAAGAAAAATTAATATCTTTAAAATCATAAACTTCAATTATATCTTCGTTTTAGAGAATACTATACTATATAATAGTTACCATGAATATTATCAAATTCATCAACAGGATCATGATCAGTAAATCTGATAGCTTCATGCAAGTATTCTAATGAGAAGAATTAATAAAATAATAAAATTATCTAGTCCAATAAAGTATAAATTAAGAGTTAACGATATATATTATATACTGTTAAATTGGAGTATTTGAATTAAATGTATTTAAAAATAATTAGAATTTAATTCAGTAAGTCTAAGTTTCCAATAAATAACTAAAGGAGCCGTGAAAATATTTTTCAGGTTTAGAAGTATTTTCAGAGGTTATCTTAATTTTAGTATGTTTCATTAAGTAGTACCTAAAAAATGTTAATACTATTTTTTATTCTATGTTATATACCTTATTTACTATCCTATGAATTTAACATTGAAATATCATTCATTTTGTCTTTCAACATCTCTGGTTATTTTAATTATTAATACAAATTTCGTTTTCAGCAATAACACTATTCAATACACATTACATCTTTTTTAAAACTTGCCTCATTGATATCCACTTCCATTTTTATTATCAAAAATAATTTATAAAAGAGCCAGACTGACCAAACAGAAGCAGATACAAAAAAAATTAAAAATCAATGAAAATTTGGAAATAATTTTATTTTAAATATAAATTCAAATTATCTGTTATAACCGCCTCCATATAAATATATAATATCAAATTATAATGTTTTTGATAATAATCATATATACCATTACTATTTAGGATTCCAAATTTGATCTAATTTATTAATCTTCTTCACTAGATGCTAATGTAGTACAATTAAGGGAAAATAAAATCAAATGGGTATAGTTGTGATTATTCAGTATACTACTCTTATCTTAACATTCAATAAACAGAATTATTAGAAACTAATGTAGTAACATCAGAGAAGCATACCCCATCTAAATTTGACTTTTATTATCGTATCTTAACATCCAATAAAGAATATTAGATTCTAAGGCACCTATCAGGAGAGATACTGACTGAGCAAATAGTTCCACAATGAAATTATTTAGATTTAACATGTACAACCAATTTAAGTGCATTTGATCAATATTTGTGAGGTGAACTAAAAATTATTAACATTGGTTAATGTTCTTATAGCATTCCAATTATCTAATATTTTCCCTTTAACAATTATACTAATATTTCTATCAGATTAGTATATTCTTTGATGAGATTAAGGTATAATGTATTTTCGTATTCAATCCTAACATAAATTTATTTTATAAATTCTCAACACTCTTGCCAAATTTTCTTCAGCATATTTTGGTTTGAGAAGGCAAGGATTTAAAACCATATCTCTATTTATTTAACTTTGATATCTTTAAGCTTGGAGTATTTCTTAATTACCATTTATTGATATTTATTGGCATCCACTCCAACTTCTTATTGGCAATCAACGCGAAGTTTTCTTTAGCATTAACGCTATAGAGAACCTCTTAATATCAAAGATATTGTATTTTTTATTTAATGAGTGCAATTCATTATTCATATTTTCAAGTTTGGCTTTAAGCTTTATCTCAAAAATAAAACAAGTATCTTGTGTATTAATATTAAGAATAAGATGAAACTTTGTTATAATTTTAAAGTTGATTGTAATTGTTGTTAAATTGATTAGTGAGAAATAAAATCAACATTTGCATGACTTGAATCTCAAAGATTATATAATGAATAATTTTCTATGAGAATTTGATTTATTATTGATTATTCATTTTTCTCTTTAATCCATTATAGACAACAGCAATTGTAATTTTTCATTTGAATATTAACAAATTAAAGTCTTAACAATATTTGGATTACTCCAAAAAGCTATTTCAGTATCTTATTTTATAACCTGATAATTTATTCTTTCTTATATAGATTGCAAAAAATACAGAAACTGATTATTAATTAAAAAGATCCTTTTAAATAGGCAATTTTATAAACATGTCAGAAAATTTTCAATATCAAAATACATTTTTATTAGATAAGAATATATAATACTATTTCAAGAAATGAAAATTATTTGAATAGCTGTGAGCATTTGTGTTCTATTTGCATTAGAAAATGTGATTATGATTATTATTAGTGAATGATCATAAGCAAAAGTGTTAAATATTGACATCAGTTAAAAGGTATATATGATTTTTCTTCAGAAAGAAATGAATAGAATGAAGATAAATGACAAAAAGAAATCTATATAGAAGAAAAAAATGTTTAACAAATTAATATTTAACACAGAATAAACAATATCCTAATTTTACCTCCAAAAATAGATGGAGGAAATTATCAACTAATTATGGTTTGTTTTATGCAAAATAATTAAATTTTTTTCGTAATAGGTACAAGAAGAAGAAACCTGAATGATAATAAATATCATTATTACTAATAAAATTATTTATCAAAATCAGAATTTCTAAAGCTTCTTAGAAATATATATAACGACCACAATCTTAAATATATTTAAAAAAACCAAATTGATTGATAAATAATCACTAATATGATTTGAAAAAAATTTAGTATTTACTAATATATCTTAAAAAAATCAATAAAAATTTATTCCTACAAACTTGATAAGATTAACCCCAAGAGTTAATTCAGTATACAAATACAAAAAGAAATAAATAAACCATTTTGAACAGGAACTAAAGAATCAACAAATAGATAAATTTAAATATATTAATAATAGAACTTATAATCTTAATAAAATATCAATCAAAAAGTAATAAACTCTATTAAATGAGACCAATTAAAACTTAAATCAGAAAAATTGATTAAAAATTAATCATGTAAAAATTGCAAAAAAAATAATAATCAAGAAATATTTTAAATCACAATAACCACAATCAAAATCATAAAAATAATATTTTGCTTTTTTAATCAAAATAATAATACAGAATCAATTTTTGACTTTTATATGAGTAAATTACTCCTTATCTAGAATCAAATGAATCATGTTACATTGATCTATAACGATGTTTTATAAAGGTTATTATATAATATAAAATGTAGAAAAGTTATATTTAAAAATAAAAAAAAAATAACAATTTTGAAATAGCATCAAAAATTTTTTCTAATTATTAGACATAAAAAATAAGGTAAAAATAAATTTTATATTTTTTAATTTTTATTATAATATTCAATTTCTAATTGCATTTTATGTAATATCTTTTTTTCTTTCTAAAAAATGACTTCCTCTTTATTTAAACAAATATAGTAAATTTTTGCCTTAATGATTTTTAAATTCTCCATCAAAGATTAAAGCTGATTATGCTTAAAACTATAAGTATGGGGACAGAAGAAGAGAAGTAACAATAGGGAAAACTAAATTTAATTAAATTTAAATACCAAAATCTGAAGATGAAGTCCTTAAAAATGGAGGTGCTTTAAATTATGCAATAATGTCTTTAAAACTGCTATCTGAAGATAGAATTTCATTACCTCCATTATAATTCCAAATACGGATTTTTTTATCATAACTACCAGATGCTAACATAGTGCCGTCAGGAGAGAAACAAACTGATGAAACACTATGGGAATGACTGTCCAATTTGGATTTTAATTATCCTGTTTTAACATCCCATAAACGGATTTAGTTATCACTTCCACCAGATGCTAATGTATTTCCATCAGGAGAGAAACAGACTGAACAGACAGTGCTAGTATGACCATCCAATTTGGCTTTTTATTATCCTGTTTTAACATCCCATAAACGGATAGTTTTATCGCAACTACAAGATGCTAGTAAAGTACCATCAGGAGAGAAGTTTAATGAAGAAACTTAATGAGTATGGCCAAATAATTTAAATTTGTATTGTTCTGCTTTAACATCCCATAAATGAAGAGAATAATCAAAATATAAATTAGTACTACTACCAATTGCTAATATAGTTCCATCAGGAGAGAAACATAGTGATCTGACATAATCTCTATAACCATCCAATTTGGATTTTTATTTTCCATTTTTTACATCCAATAATAGAATATAGCTATAACAACTGCCAGATGCTAAAGTATTTCCATCTGGAGAGAAGCATATTGATAGAACATCATTAGAATGACCATCCAATCTGGCCTTCTATTATCCAGTCTTAACATCCCATAAACGAATAGAGCGATCTATACTACAAGATACTAATGTAGTTCCATCAGGAGAGAAGCATACTTAATTGACGTCCCTAGTATGATCATCCAATTTTAATTTTTATTGTCCTGTTTTAACATCCCATAAACGATACTACAATCTCCATCATTTGCAAAATCTCCACTACAAGATGCTAATGTATTACTGTCGGGAGAGAAGCATAGTGATTAAACCTAACTAGTATGGCCATCCAAATTGAATTTTTATTGCCATGCCTTAACATCCCATAAATGGATTGATTTATCATAACCGCCAGATGCTATTGCAGTTCCATCAGGAGAGAAACAAACTGATTGGGCATATTTATTATGACCATCCAATTTGAATTTTTATTGCCTTTTCTTAACATCCCATAAATGGATAGATTTATCTCCACCACCAGATGCTAATTTCGTTCCATCAGGAGAGAAACATACTGATGTTACCCATTTATAACTTGGACTCTATTCAGCCATTTTTATTTTTTTCTAGATTTCCCATAAAAAGATTGTAGAATCTCCACTACAAGAGGCTAATTTAGTTCCATCAGGAGAAAAGCATACTGAATAAACAGAATTATAATGACCACTCAATTTTGTTGTTTACTGTCCTGTTTTCAGATCCCATATATGAATAGACATATCATTACTACCAGATGCTAATGAAGTACCATCAGGAGAAAAGCAGACTGACCAAACACTTTAACTATGACCCTCTTATTTAGATTTCTATCTCCCTGTCTTAACACCCCATAAGCGAATAGATTTATCAACGCTTCCAGATGCTAATGTTTTACTATCAGGAGAAAAGCAAACTGATTGGACAGATTCACTATGACCAATTAATTTAATGTCTATTTTCTCGTCTTAATAGTCCATAAACGGATAAAATTATCATCACTTCCTGATGCTAATGTAATACCATCAGGAGAAAAACATACTGACCAAGTACTATTACTATGACCATCAAACTTGGCCTTTTATTATCCTGTCTTAACATCCCATAAACGGATAGAACAATCTCCACCAGGAACATGATCTCCACTACTAGAGGCTAATGTTGTACAATCAGGAGAAAAGCATACTGATTAGACAGTACTAGTATGACCGGCCAATTTATTAAGCTCATGTATTTTTAAGTTGGTCCATTTACAATTAATTAATACAGCTCCATTCAAATTCATACCGCTTATGTCTACATTATCAAATTACGATCCACTTAAGTTGGATCGAACAAAATTAGCTCCCATTAAAGAAGTATTCTAAATTCTGATGTTTTCAAAATTTTAATTTCTAAGGTCCACCTTTATCTAAATTAATAAATATAATGAGTTTGATCCGCATTGAATTAAATTATCATATTAGGCTGTAAGGTGAACTAAGAATTTCATAAATCCAATTATCTCCTTTTAATCTCTTATTTATTTAATTAGATCCTGTCTCTGTTAGAAATATCCATCATCAGAATAGTTTTATTTGTTAAAGCTATGATCTTTTATTTATTTAAGAATATTGGCAATTTTGTTAAAGTTATTTGTTAGAAAATTTAACTTCCACCACTTATCAAAAGGTTAAATGTTGGCTTTAAAAATCTATTATTCAAGATTTATTTGACTGCCATTATTAGAAAGAAATTTTAGATAATCTGAAATTTTCCCTCTCCTCAGTATTACAATTATTTAAGAGTATATGTGTTCATCGACAACTTTAAATTGAGAGAAAATCTCTGTTAAATCTTAGTTCAACTTGCTGGAGTCATTCATTTTTTTTTTAATTTATTGAATTTCTATCATTCTAGAATATAATATTTATCAAAAAAGTATCTTATTTATTTTTTTTAATATTAAAGCCACACTTTGTTAAGATTTGAACTTGTGAATAATTGATCAATATATTGCTAGTGGAAATTTAATTTAAATAGCTTCTTTTTTTAATAATTTATATAAATCACTATGATGCCAAAATTTTAAATTATTAAATTTTAGATAAAATATATATATTTATTTTTTAAAGATATCATTTTATTGGTCTTGATAAATCTCTATTCTAACTTAAATTAAAGTAGTTTTTCCTTTTAAATAAGATTGGTAAATTAAGTATTTCTTTACCTTTATTTATGATAATTGTCAGATATCCAACCAAATATTTCCAGTAGTGATTGGTATCGAAAATTTAATTTAATCATTCATTCTCTCAAAATCAAATATTTATATTGAGCTTATTAATTATTTATCAGTATTATGTAATAAATTTAGATTTTATTCTTTTGTTTAAAGAATAAATGGTTTAAGTATAATTTCTTTATAAAATTAATAATTATTTTTTAATAATGAAATATAAATAAAAGGAGATTCTTTTATCAAAGTATATAATCATTTATCACAGTAAGAAACGTAAGATAAATAAAGGGTAATTATATTTAGATTGGAATCGAATGTTAAAATACAGCATACTTACTTCTTTTTATTTAGTAAAAACAGTTGAAAGAATTTAAAGATTTTTAATCTTTTGGATTTGTTCTTAATTTTATAGATAATAGTTTCAATATTTTAGTAGATATAGCTTAATGTATATAGTGAACGCATGGTTCCATATAGGCTCTCCTTGGAGTTCCGGTAGGTTCCCTATAGGCCGCCTTGAAGTTCTGGTAGTAGAAGACTATTCTAATCTCATATTGCAATATTATCTAATCGTTTTAAAACTTTAAGAGGAGAATTTAAGGTTTTTCCTTTTAACAAAAAAAGCAGTGTCTAAATATAATTCCTCTAAGTTTTAGGTTTGCTTTAGGTTTTTTGTACTATACCCCTTTATTCCTTTTTTTTCTTTACCTTCAACTTCACTAAGGAAGGTCATCCCCTATGTACTCTTGCTACATTTGAAATAGGTTGAACAGTTAACTTTGAACTAATAACTTTGTCTTTGATATTAATAAGATTCCCATTTAATATCACAACTTCCAATTTTTCTCCCATTTTGAGATTCGCCTCCATATGTGATAGATCTTGTACTTATAAAAGTATAATTTAAATAAATTAAAAATTAAAGCAATCACACAATTAATCTATTTTTCAAATTTGACTGAAATTAGAGAATCATCAAAACATTTTGCTTAATTTCATATAATCCTCCACCACTAGATAAACAATATTCAAAATTACAAAGTTCTATGACTAAAATTTAGATGTTTTGTGTCCCATATACCAACGTTTATTCCATTTTTGTATTCTCCCTAAAAAGTCATATGGCAAGGGCTAAAATATATCTTTCAATCCTAAATAAATACTCATCAAGTACCTCTAACTCTTCAACCCTTTTTCCATTTTTATGAAACCATCTTCTTTTCAAAGTTCTATATATAATCCTAAATATAAAAATTATCTTATATAAATTAATTCTATTCTTTCAAATTAGACATTGTAAACTAAATAACAATTTTCTTACCCTCTCTAATTCCTCTACATAACTTATATAAAAATTACTAATAATAGTTAATGTTTATAATAAATACATGTAGAAATAATTTCACAATTCAATCTATTTACCATTCTTCTTACCTTTATTATTATAATTTCCACCACGACTCAAAATTATCATAAATTAATACATAATATTATTTTAAAGATATCTTATGATTGTGTTCTTCTGAAGTATTTGATAATATACTTTTCCATCTAAGATGGTCTCATCTCCAAAGGAGGAAATATTGAAATCTTAATTTTGAATTACTTTAACTCCAAAACTTAATAGTTATTTGCAACTCTTATATAAATAATAATCAAATGGTCTAATAATTGCTTATATTATAATTTTTATATTTACATAGATGTATATTAGATTAATCATTTATTACTAAAATTTTAGATGTACATTTTTATACTGTTTTTGGTTCATCAATTGAGTAGTCTGAAAATTAAGGAAGTGGACTCTCTATATTAATATAGTTAATAATCGATTGTATTATCAGAATAATCTCCATCAATTTCTAGTGCCTTTAGATATGAAATATTGTCAAAATAAAATCCGTCAACAAACATTCTTTAAGTTGGAAATTTTGAAAAATTTTATAGTGATTGATAGTGCAGTAGAAGAATTATTTTTGAAACTCAATTTAATATATTATGATTGTATAGATGATTCTTTAAAGAAAATCACTAAAATAATAGCATTTATTGATAATAATGTTGTGTAGCATTGATTTACTGTAGATATCGATCCTTTAGAATAGCCTTTAAAAGTAAGTTTTGAATTAATTTTCATATATAAATAGAAAATTAATAGTTAACATCTTTTAATTAAATAGTCTTTTAAAGATCAGACTTTCAAGTTTATTTTTGGAGGTGGTATGATAGTATAATCTAAAATTTCATAATTAATGGTAAAAAAATCAATGATTTTAACAAAGAGATTTCGAATAGATGAAGATCAAGAATAATCGATAAGAATGGCTTTTGAATAATTTAGTTTTTTATTTGTAAAGTGAATAAAATATAGAGATTGGGGATAATAATATGAAATATTTGGATAATTTAGTTTTTACTTCTGAAACTATTAACTCCAATTAATTTCAAATATCTGGATGGTTGAGAATTACTGATATTATTTAGAACTAAGATGATAAATTCATTACCAAAATGAACCTTATCACCATTTACTTTTTCATATAAGATTTCTCCAATCAGAAATTAAAATATAAAAAGAATTTGATACTTTTAATCATATATATTTTTGGAAAAAGTTTACAATAAAACTCATTGATGACTCGTTGATCATTAACATTAAAGTTTATTAAGATCTTTATAATGGTGTTTAATAAATTCTTTATTATGCATATCGAATAAAATGAAAAATATTGATTATCAAAATTAACTGTCACTTTAACATGTAATTATACTCTATAATTTAGACTTTTTTGTGTAAAAAAACCTAAATAACTTATTAGCACTAAAATACAAATAAGAAATCTTTATTTTTTTATTTAAATATGATTAGGCATCCTTTAATCTATAGATTTATAGCATAACCAAAACTGATGTATCAGTAAATGTATCTAACCCATCATATCAAATAATATTAGGAACAAGCGAAATTATTAAAATACTAGGTTTAAATCTGTACTATATTGCTCTTTAAATCAAAAGAAAAAAATTCCATTTAAGAGTATCAAAAAAGTTATTAAATCAGAAATAAAATCATGTGTGACCTTATAATAAATATTAAATCTAAAATAATATTACTTTTCATATAAATGATTGAAAACCTCACTTAGTTATCCTAAAAATATTCATTAAGTAAGCAAACTTACTCTTAGCCTTAATAAAACTTTAATAATGTAATTGAATATAAAATTTAAACATTAATTACCATAAATCTAACATAAATATTTAAAGAAAAATTAATGCTATATCTTTTTTTTACTTTAAATATTTCTGGAGATTGTTTTTAGATTTGAATTTAATTAAATGAATATTATTTTTAAATGTTTTTTGAAGTGAATACTTAATTTTTTTCAAGTACCTTCTTTTTTACAAAGTTGAAATATAATTTTTTGTTTAATTCATACTTTTAGAAGGCAAATAAACTTATTTGCTGGATTATCATTCCTTTTTGTTAATTATTTATTATTCGATTTGAAATCTCAACTTGTTTTTTCTAAATTTTTCTCTTTCTATCCGCATGCCAACTACTTCTAGGTAAATCCTTAATTAGAAAATGAATCTACACTTAATTAACTCATCATCAATATTCCACTATTTATTTTTTGCCTTTTTAACAATCATATTTAATTGTTTTTTTTTTGCAAAATTTTTTAATTTCAATCTTACTCCCTTTTTGTTTGAATTATTTTACATAATATATAATCAGGTTTAAAAATGACTATATAAAAAATAATATTCATTTTTAAGAAAATTTATTTTCTAATTCATTAGCCTAATTTATGATAACTAAAATAATTTATTGAAATTTTATCAAATTAGGTCTTTCAGATTCTTAAAATTCAATAATTGTAAGCTCCTTTCTTGTTAACAATAAAATTTTTGTTTACTATTACAATGAAAAAAAAAATTATTTATTCCTTTCGCTTAAAAATTTATGATTAAACCAGAAATAAAAGGCTATATTAAAAATTTATATCAATAACAATATATTTAATCAGTTGGAAACATATCTATTATAAACCTATTTATTATTGCTAAAACAATAAATGTTAATAGTAAATCTATCATAATAAAGAATATCAATCATTAGAATAAATCATAGATTCTAAGTCTGATTAAATCAAGTAATCATCTGATTAATTGTGTGGAAAGTCAATCAAAAATATTAGCTTATTTAGAATAATTTAAGATAATAAATTATTACGAAAAATTTAATTTTCATTTATAAATAATATTGACGAAGCTAAGAATTTGATTAAAGAAATGAAAATGACTGAACAAAATCAAAAATTTGAAGACAATAAAAAGAGGTTAGACAATTTCAAAATAGTTGGATAATTATTAAGAGATCTTAAGTAGAAAATAGACTCTATTTTTTTGATATAATATTCAATAATATTCAATCAAAATTAAGTTAGATTTAAAGTGATATAGAAAATATAGAATCATAAACTATCATATTCAATTTTGAAGTTGACATTGAAAGATTTTCCTAATATAAAGTATAATAAATATGAAAGTTGAATAAGAATAAGAAATAAATTATTATTGTAATAATTTTTTGGTTTTTTATTGTAAAAATTATTCATTCAAAGGTTAGTGTGCCTAAAAATCTTAATCAGAATTTTCCAAATATAACCAAAATTTATAGTTATCCAAATAGATGTACATAAAAATTCTTTAAAAAAAGTGATAGATAGAATATTAAAATATGTGTTTTAATCAATTACTGTTGATTATTCACATCGATAATTCTTCAGTTTTAAAACTATTGAAATATTCTAAACTTCTAGATTATTTATTTAAATTTTGCTAGATTCATCTAAAACTAAATCAAAATTAATATATAAATTAATTTGGATACAATCGTAGTAGACAATCATTTATTAGGATATTTGTAACTTTAAAATTCTCAATATAAACTATTCAAGCATTTCTCATAATTATATTAATTTAAATAATTCTTCAATCTTTCTAAAGTATTTTGATTAAAAATTAAATCTAATTTCATTATTTGCTATTTTGAAGCCACATTAGAAATTAAATTATATATGAAAGATCCAAGTTTAGAATAGATATTTTTAATTTCCAATTGAAAAATTTATTTCAGAATAATAGGAGAATCTGATTTTATTTAAATTTATCCTCCATCTTCCTTACCAGTAATATTTTTAATAATCAATAAGAGAATGATAACTCGAGAGTTTCTGCTTTAGTTACATCTAAATAAATAGATTCATATATCCTAAATATTTATAAAATAAAGTAACAATATTCTTGAACTAAAACTGGGATATTGAAATTATACTATTTCTTTAAGCTTGTATATATATTGCTCCATCTTAAAAACCTATTGATTACTGAAAATTACAAAATTTTATTTCAAAATTCTCCACAAAAAATGAACCAAATCCTTCATTAAGTTTTACTTCAAAAATACTATTTATCTATCAATAAGCAATAGTTTATTATTTTTTTTAATTTGATCATAAATATTCATATTCTACAAACCATCATAATAAAAAGGGTTGGATATTTTGATATTAAAACTAACTATTTTAATAAAAAGAGCTGTTTGATATTACTAATTATTGACTTTTAATGAATATCATATTATCTAAGCTATTGTAAAGGGAACTTTAAAAAAAATGGGAGTTGGTTATAGTAACGAAGCCTAAAATAAAATTAAAGTTAAACAGTTGAAAGGATATTTAAAGATTGTTTAAAGGCATTCATGTAAAATATTATTTATCAATGTAACATTTTAAACTTCAAAAGTCGTCCATTGAATTGACTCCATAAAAATGATTCCGGTTTAAAATTGTTAATATTGTTAATCTTGTTAATTTGTTAGAATTAATAAATTCGATTACACAAGAAAATTAGTTAAAAGAATTTTTTCTAGTTAATATTATGTTGTACTATCAGATGATGTAATTAGAGAATTAAAAGATTAAACATTCTTATCTGCATATCAACCATATCATAATCAATCACAGAAGTAATAAAGAGCGATTAAAAATAGTACTCACCTTAGATTTGTTTTAATTGGCAATCAAGATATTAATCAAGACAAGGAATTTATGTTCATCACTTTAAGTAATTATACTAGATTCAATCCTTAATACTTTGCATTTAATATGATAAAATCTTTTTATCCATAATCTCTTAAGATATTTAAGTTTGTTATATATGCAGCATGACAATTAAAGCTAGGTTTTAGGTTTTCAAATTAAAATCAGATTAAATGGATGTAGAATAATTATTAAATATAATTAAATTTATTGATTTTAATGGATGAATATCCATTATTGTATTTTTTAAAATAAATAAGTTTTATAGTTTAATGATATTCATTATATAATAAATAAATATCTGCAAATTTTATATTTAAATTCTCTTTAAAGACTTAATTAGGATTAACAATTCCATAATGAAGATATTTAAATGAGCTATTATTAATGGTTATATCACTTAAACTATTATTATTATTAAGAATGATAAGAGTTGAGTTATTGATTTCAGAATTTTTAAATGAAATTCCAATTACTCTTATATCATTCAAATAAAGCCAGCTCAGGAAGGTTAAATAATTGAGTATGAATTGCATTTCATTTTATATAAAAGTTGCATAATTTAATAATATGCGTTTACATATAAATCTTAAAGTTAGATGATATAGAAGATAAATTTTGTTTTGCAATTCCTAATTATAATATATCTATTAAATACATAATCTATAAAATCTTATTTGTTTACATTAAAAAATAGAGTGATCTGATTATTTAGAGTAACATTTTTTAATTTTACATTTTAAGGTTTGCTACTTAAAAGTCTTAATCAAATTAGAATTAGATTTGGAAAAAAAATGATCACGATTCAAACTAATTTATTAATTTAAACTATTTATTACTCTTTTAAAAGTGTATTCAAAAATTAGATCTTCTAATAGAATATTACGTTTATTAAATTTTTGTTATTCATAATCTGTCGAATGGGCATTTAAGGCCGTTATAAAATCTTTTTAAGAACAAAATAAATTATTTGGAGTTATTAGTTATTTTTCACAATTATTAAGATTAATGCAATTAATGAAGCTTCCTATCAAAACCTTTTAAACATTGGTATGAAGCTACTTTTTATTCATCATCCTTAAAAAAAGGATTAATTAATTAAATTTCTTCTTACGACATAATTCTATTTAATGCAAAATTTTATTAAAATTCAATACAATAATTTTCTGATAAACTTTGTCTTCTTCCTTAATATTGGAAATAACATCTTATATATTAATAACCACCATTTAAATATTCGAATTCTAAACATGAATCAGGATAAGCTTTGATACATACAGATTTTATTTACTAATTCATATCCTTTTGCACAAAAAGTACAAATAATTTCAAAATCATCTTTATCTTCAATCAAGGCATTTAGTTTATATAAAAATATCAAATTATTAATTATTAATCGATGATCATCTTTCGAATAAATAAAAAATTAAAAAAAAGCTGTAATTCTGATGGGCATTAAAAGCATTTACCTGATACTCTGTCAGCATAATATCCATTTTTACAAGTTAGACAAATATTGACTACTGCTGCATTGTTACCTTTTCTCTTAAACAACTTTAACAATTCTCAATAAATCCTGGACATTATTGATTAAATTTACCGATTTTTTATCTTGAAGATTCATAATTTGATTAATCTCTAGATATTAAACTTTTATCTTTGCTTTTTTTATAATATAATGAAAATAATCAAAAATTAATAATAATTTTCTATATGTTTAGTGAATAAAACAATATTGTTGTGATGTAACATAGATATCCAATATATTAGGGATTAAATGCAATAGATATAACCTAATTCTGAATTTCTTTTTCAAAATTCACGTTCATCTTATTTATTAAATTATCATCTATAAAAGTAAAATTACTATGAAGTTCTGCATATAATAAGAAGCATTAATAATCAGGTTAATCAGGTTATTATAAGCAAGTATTAATTTTCATTATTAAAATGATATCTTCCACATATTTTAATAATATTATGTCAATCATCTTTTGGTGAAAAATTGAGATCAAGATTGTTAATCTAGAAATTAGTTGGCAAACTTAAAAATCATGATGAAATTTTTGGATTTTCAAAGAAATTTANTAACATTTTTTAATTTTACATTTTAAGGTTTGCTACTTAAAAGTCTTAATCAAATTAGAATTAGATTTGGAAAAAAAATGATCACGATTCAAACTAATTTATTAATTTAAACTATTTATTACTCTTTTAAAAGTGTATTCAAAAATTAGATCTTCTAATAGAATATTACGTTTATTAAATTTTTGTTATTCATAATCTGTCGAATGGGCATTTAAGGCCGTTATAAAATCTTTTTAAGAACAAAATAAATTATTTGGAGTTATTAGTTATTTTTCACAATTATTAAGATTAATGCAATTAATGAAGCTTCCTATCAAAACCTTTTAAACATTGGTATGAAGCTACTTTTTATTCATCATCCTTAAAAAAAGGATTAATTAATTAAATTTCTTCTTACGACATAATTCTATTTAATGCAAAATTTTATTAAAATTCAATACAATAATTTTCTGATAAACTTTGTCTTCTTCCTTAATATTGGAAATAACATCTTATATATTAATAACCACCATTTAAATATTCGAATTCTAAACATGAATCAGGATAAGCTTTGATACATACAGATTTTATTTACTAATTCATATCCTTTTGCACAAAAAGTACAAATAATTTCAAAATCATCTTTATCTTCAATCAAGGCATTTAGTTTATATAAAAATATCAAATTATTAATTATTAATCGATGATCATCTTTCGAATAAATAAAAAATTAAAAAAAAGCTGTAATTCTGATGGGCATTAAAAGCATTTACCTGATACTCTGTCAGCATAATATCCATTTTTACAAGTTAGACAAATATTGACTACTGCTGCATTGTTACCTTTTCTCTTAAACAACTTTAACAATTCTCAATAAATCCTGGACATTATTGATTAAATTTACCGATTTTTTATCTTGAAGATTCATAATTTGATTAATCTCTAGATATTAAACTTTTATCTTTGCTTTTTTTATAATATAATGAAAATAATCAAAAATTAATAATAATTTTCTATATGTTTAGTGAATAAAACAATATTGTTGTGATGTAACATAGATATCCAATATATTAGGGATTAAATGCAATAGATATAACCTAATTCTGAATTTCTTTTTCAAAATTCACGTTCATCTTATTTATTAAATTATCATCTATAAAAGTAAAATTACTATGAAGTTCTGCATATAATAAGAAGCATTAATAATCAGGTTAATCAGGTTATTATAAGCAAGTATTAATTTTCATTATTAAAATGATATCTTCCACATATTTTAATAATATTATGTCAATCATCTTTTGGTGAAAAATTGAGATCAAGATTGTTAATCTAGAAATTAGTTGGCAAACTTAAAAATCATGATGAAATTTTTGGATTTTCAAAGAAATTTATTCCATCAGATGATAAAAAGTACTTTGAATCATTTATAAAAAATCTCTCTCTTTTTCACTATTTACATTTTTAACATCTTAGATAACTTATACTTTTTTTTGAATCGTATATTTTGCAAACAACACAGAAATTTCCACAACGAACACATTCTCCATTATATAAAGTATAATCATCCAAATAAGATTTACATTAAAAATTATTTGATTCAACATTACACTAGCAAGTGAAACAAGTAAAAGGACATTAATAGTAATTAGAATTATAATAATACATTCCAGTTTTAGTAAATAAAATCTTGCTTCTTTGATACTTGTAAAAGATTGTAATTCTATGTCACAAAAATTCATGAAACCTGGATGAATCTCAATAAACTTATCTTTGTCAATATGATAAAAATCATAATTTAATTAATTTTGTTTAATATAGTTAAATACGCCTTATGCAGTCTATTTTAATGATCTAAAATCATATTTGCATATTGGTGTTAAATACCAAGTAAATGGATAATAAATACAATCAACACATAAAATTTCATAGGAATTGGATTAAGGACTGATTATAATTAAATGATTATCATTTTTTTAATTAAAAAGAATTATTTCTATTTGGATAGAGAATCTATCCATATTCACATAAAGTATTACTAAAAGGTGCTCCCTCTTTTTGCTAAACTAAAGAATATTCAATTTCAAATGATTTACAAACTTTCTCGTCTGGAACATCTATAAATCCATGATTGTATTTTATTTTAATCATTGAAATAATGTCTGTTAGAATTTTTTCTACATTTATACAATTATTTTCAAGAGATCCATCACAAGTCTTACAAGAGTAATGATAAACTAATTTTGATTATTTAATTGTATCATTAAATTAAAATTACTTATCATCCACATAATTTTATTCAAATTTAAATCAAAAAGTGATGCTAGGAGCAAATTGATTATATACTCATCTGATTCCAAATAGAGATTAAAAGGAGAATTGCATATTGATGCTAAATTTTCAACTACCATTTATTTATATAACTGATTGTAAAATTGTATATAGGATATAGTTTTAAATCCATTTGCTAAAATCATTCATATTCATAGGGCAAATAATGCCATTATTGTATAATGATAATTAATATATAAATTTCTGTAATCATTTAATATAAAGATGATTTTAATCATTAAAAATCCTATTAAAAATGCATTAATTGTTGGACCTTTAAGCAATCCCGTTATAGGTATCATATGGAAATCTTTAATAATTTCAATATAACTTGCTTTAGGTTCAATTCTGTTTAGAATTACTCTTAGCATAAATATTTCATCACCAAAATATGTTTTTTTAAAATAATTTAAAAAAAGACTTATCCTTATCAAAGGAAAAACTGATTACTCAATTAATCTTGATGCATCATATTTACCCATCCAGATAAGCAGAATCTAGTTCCAAATTAATTTATGGTATATTGGAGAGATGTATCTTCATTGAATATTTATAATCCTTTGACAAAATAGACAGTTTACTCTTCCTGTAATGGAAGTAAGGATCCAGAAATAAAATTCCTCATTTCCAATCAAGATCTTGGACAATCTTCCTTTATAATTATTAAGGTTTAATCTAGCAATCTATATAAAATTTACAATGCACTATTACTTTTCCTCTCCCTCCTAAGAAAATTTATGTATAAATTGGGAAATTTGTTGCATTTTTACTATATTCAACTTAATCTGTAATCTCAAAAAAAATATAAATATTATAGAAGTCAGATGTAAAACATTTAAAACCCATTTCCTCTCATAAATAGTGGGGTAAATTTAAAATCTAATTTTTTATTGTTGTCTCTATTGAGCATTATGTTATGAATCTCTCGATCAGGTTATAAGCTCATCGAAACAAATTCTATCGATGAAACACCATTATAGTCATTCACTGAAATAAGAATTATCCATCTTTTAATTAGTTATCGTCAAATTCTTAATCAAAATAGGGGACATTTTTAAATTGTTATTGAGGAACATATAAACTCCAAAATCCAAATTCAAATGAAATTCTCATATATATATATATATTGACAAAAGAAATTAAGAATTGGAGACTATAGGGGCAATAAGACATCTTCATAGTCACAATAGGGGCAACATTATAATTTTGGAAGACTAAGAAATACGTAAATAAAAGTTGTCAGTGTAGAATACTAGTAGATAATTTCCATAATTTATAATAGATATTGATTTTAAAATATTACAAATTTCCATTAAAACATAATTAATATTGGATANCTAATCAATCCCATTATAGGTATCATATGGAAATCTTTAGCAATTTCAATACCACTTGTTTTAGGTTCAATTCTGTTTAGAATTACTCTTAGCACAAATATTTCATCACCAAAATATGTTTTTTCAAAATAATTTTTAAAAAGACTTATCCTTATCAAAGGAAAAACTGATTACTCAATTAATCTTGATGCATCATATTTACCCATCCAGATAAGCAGAATCTAGTTCCAAATTAATTTATGGTATATTGGAGAGATGTATCTTCATTGAATATTTATAATCCTTTGACAAAATAGACAGTTTACTCTTCCTGTAATGGAAGTAAGGATCCAGAAATAAAATTCCTCATTTCCAATCAAGATCTTGGACAATCTTCCTTTATAATTATTAAGGTTTAATCTAGCAATCTATATAAAATTTACAATGCACTATTACTTTTCCTCTCCCTCCTAAGAAAATTTATGTATAAATTGGGAAATTTGTTGCATTTTTACTATATTCAACTTAATCTGTAATCTCAAAAAAAATATAAATATTATAGAAGTCAGATGTAAAACATTTAAAACCCATTTCCTCTCATAAATAGTGGGGTAAATTTAAAATCTAATTTTTTATTGTTGTCTCTATTGAGCATTATGTTATGAATCTCTCGATCAGGTTATAAGCTCATCGAAACAAATTCTATCGATGAAACACCATTATAGTCATTCACTGAAATAAGAATTATCCATCTTTTAATTAGTTATCGTCAAATTCTTAATCAAAATAGGGGACATTTTTAAATTGTTATTGAGGAACATATAAACTCCAAAATCCAAATTCAAATGAAATTCTCATATATATATATATATTGACAAAAGAAATTAAGAATTGGAGACTATAGGGGCAATAAGACATCTTCATAGTCACAATAGGGGCAACATTATAATTTTGGAAGACTAAGAAATACGTAAATAAAAGTTGTCAGTGTAGAATACTAGTAGATAATTTCCATAATTTATAATAGATATTGATTTTAAAATATTACAAATTTCCATTAAAACATAATTAATATTGGATATATAGTTTTAATGTAATTTAGAAATTATTGCATGTAGTTATAAAATAAGTGACTGAAAATTTGTTATTTTTAAGTACTTTCAAAAATTTCAAATTGCATCAATTAAATTCTTAAACATTGATAGAAAAAATAAACAATTTATATTTAAAGATGTTAGATTTTGTATCTTCTAATAATTAAGAATAATTCTTTATATATTAGATTTCATATTTAAGAGATGTTGCTATTATGATTCAACTTAATTGATTAAACATGGTTGAAAAGTCAAAAATGAATTTTTTAAAATCAGCCAAAAATAAAAAAATTCTTATTAAAAATTAATGACGTACTTTAAAATTTAACATAGTATATCTACATTTAAGTTAATTTATTTTAAATTAAATATTTCAAAAAATAAGCAAAAATTTCTAAATTTATATCCTACTTATTTAAACCAACTAAGATTAATTCTTATCAAATTTACGGAAGATGAAAATTAACTTTATCAATAGCTTTTAAACTCTGATGTTTAATTATAATTCTACATATATGTAATAATTTATTTAGTCGTTTTTATTAAGCGACAACAACATATCTCTTTACAAAGGAAAATAAACAATTTAATGCCTCTGGTGAAATATCATTTTAAGAGGTCATCTTTTTTTTAGGTTTTAGAAGTTAAAAATATATGCAAGGTTCTTTAAATATGATTAATTTTAATTTTTTAGAAATTAAGACAAAATATCAAAACAATTTATCAATATTTAATATCAGCATTTATTGCCTCGAAGATTAATATTTTCATTTTCATACATTTTGTGTTATATCTAATTTTTTTTTCATTATCTATGAAATTTTGAGCTTTTTGCAAAATAAAGTTTAAGAATTCATGAAGTGCAATCATTAAAAGGAACTTTTAGTTATTTAAAGTAATATTTAAAAACTTTTTAGAGAGAAAAAGAAAAAATAGTTAATATTAGGGTTTTCAGGATTTATAACATAGAATTAATAGTAGCTAAAAATAATGAAATATAATAAACCAGATTATATAATAAATGTATCAAATTTTTCAATTTTGTTTGGTTTATTACATGTATAGCAAATAATTAATAAAAAAGCAGATAGAATAAGACAAAAAAAAAATAATTTTATTTTATTTTCTTGAAGTTTTAATTACCAAAAATTCATATTGAGTTTAAAAAAATAACAATTATTATCTTTTACACAATATTTAATACTTTGCTGAGTTGTAATAAATATTTTAAATGACAGATTTTTAACTTTGCCAGAAGCTGTTTTGCTTTGAATAAAAAGGGTAGGACCATTTTACAATAAATATTGAGGTTGAAATGTGGGATTAGATCAAAACCTAAATTATGAAGAGGAAAATTTAAATCATAAAAACTCAAGATAATGAAACCATTTATTTAAATGATGAAATAATTTTGAGAGTGTGAGAATATTTTATATTTTAATAATAGCTAATCAATACAAGATGCTTTAATTAATCCATAAAACTTTACTAATCTGGAGTAGATCTAAAACCTTTAATGGAAAAAAGAAAATGAAATAAACATAATGAAAATTGTGAAAAGTAGGGCTTTTTGGAATGGAGAAGTTTTTAAAGGTGTTGGTGGATACTTCCTTGATGGATAAAAATAGGGATTTTGGAGGGAAATAATTGACAATTATTGGAGGTAAATTCCAAAATAAAATATTAAAATAGTTAAGCTGAAGTATATGTAATTGGAGAATACAATAAAAACAAAAAAGTTGGGGTATGGAAATACATATTTCATAATAACATTATGTTTTTATTTATTAATTATTTAGTGGCCTTGGATAATATAATTATTAAGGTTAAAGAATCGCAAAGTGGATATAGTTGAGAGATAGATTTTCGAAGTAAAGATAACGGTGAATATTTTAGTTGAAGTTAAATTACATATATTGGTGAATATTAAAATGGTTAAAAGATTGGATTATGGGAAATTTGGTATAAGGATTATGAAACAAAAAGAAATAAATAAATGTAAGGATTAATCTATTCTATGTTATAGTGGTGGTGGATCATATGATAAGATAAATTCAATTAAAATTGGTAGGTGGATTGAAAACAGTAATAATTTTAGGGATTGTTCATAAGTTATTTATCAAGGTCAATATAAAAATGGTAAAAAGGTTGGTAGATGGGATATTTTATATAGAAATTAATAGAGTGAAGCATTTTAATAGATGTAAAATTATAAAAATAAAATAAAAGCTTAATTTAGTGGTGGGGGTTCATATGATGATTAGGTTTAAGGAGATTTAATTAAAATAGGAAGTTGGATTGAAATAAGCGAAGAATTTTATAAATGGTCATAAGTCACTTATTAAGGAGAATATAAAGATGGTAAAAGAATTGGTAAATGGGAAATTTGGTTTAAAGATTGCCATAAAAATTAGAAAAAATTAATGTATAGATTAAAATATAATTCATGATTAGTGGTGGTGGATTCTATGATGATAAAAGCTCAACTAAAATTGGGAAGTGGATTGAATAAAATTTAAGGTTTTATTATAATTCCTAAGTTACTTGGACTCGTTAATATAAGAATGGCTAGAAAGTTGGTAGATGGGATATTGTACATGAAGAATAACAGATGTATATATATATCCAAATCTCAAAATATAGTGGTGGTGGTTAATATAAAGAAGATGGAAATAGCGAAACCAAGATAGGAAATTGGATTGAATTAAGTCATAGCTTTCGGGATTGGTCATAAATCACATATAATGGCGAATATAAAGAAGATAGAAAAGTTGGGAGATGGGATATTTGGTATAAAGATTGGGAGACGAAGAAAATGAATAATTGTAATGAAAATTAAAATTTTTAGAGGGGGCGGGCATTATGATGAGATAAGTTCTATTAAAAATGGAGTTTGGATTGAATTGAGTGATATTTTTGATAGATATTCGTAAGTCATTTATGATTGAGTATATTAAAATGGTAAAAAAGTTGGTATATGGATGGAATTGGAAAAAAAGAGATGGAAACTTTAAGAAGGTTTCAAAAAAATAAAAGATATTAATTATGATAATTGAAAAATTTCAAGATTTTTAAATAATTAGATTTCATTAAAATGTGGTTATCAATTTTTATCAAGTATATTTTTTTTAATAATATTTCACTTTCTAAGCTATTTTTCTAAAGTAAGTTGATTTTCTTGGCCATTTAACTTCACCTATATTTATAAGGAAAAAAAGATTATTTTTCTGTTACAACATTTGGGGATGAGCTTTGTACTTTATATTTCTTTTTGGCTAAGCAATTAAATTGAAAGAAGGATGGTCATTAAAAGGCATTCTAAATAAAAATTAAACAGATAATAGTATTCTTTCTATTTGGAATAAGAAAACTGTGAATAAATCATATAATTAGATAATAACTCTTCTAAATCTATAGTATTCAGACTAGAAGCTCGAATGTCACCTTGGTTGTTTCGAATAGATGTGTTTGTTAAACAGGTTTTTATTTTAATAAATCTACTTTAAAATGTGAAGGTTTTTAGTTTAAATTACAATATATGCAATTTTACTCATCGATAGCGGAACTTTTCTATTTATGAAAATTATTCTCTAGATTTTTTTGACTATTTACAGATTAGCAGAGAAATGGAGTATTTAATTGTTATTATCAATTTACTAATACATATACTTTGTTATCGGGAATTTATTCTTTAATTGAAGATTTTATAAATTATCAACATAAATCTATTTAAATAAAAGACCATTAAATAATCAATATTTAAATTTCTCCCATTTATTTATTTCACTCTTTTTATTTTATATCATTTTGGAACCAATAATGATGTTCTTAAGAATAATTATTTTGAATCATATCACTTTATAAATGAGAAATTATGCTAATAATCCATTGTATTGCATTGTGTACTTTTTTGTTGGCCATCAAAAATTAGTTGAACTCTTTCTTATTTATGCAATTATGTGAATTCTAATATTTATATGATATTAGATTCATTTTATGTAATATTCTTTTCTATTTTGCTCCTTCAAATCAGTTTTAAACAATTGTTAAGAAAATGATTTACTAAAAAATTATTCAATTTATTATTTATCATTAATTTATCAATCAATATTATATTAAATAATTCTAAATTGAAAGCAACTATATTAAATTTAATTTAGTAGAAAATAAACTATTTATTAAATTAGGATAAATTATATTTTGCTTTTTTTCAATAATAACTAAGATTATAAAAATAAATATTTAATTTCCTAAACTAGATAATAATCATATTTATCCAATTTATTATGATGGCAGAGACTATAGATTTGTTTCCTTTTATAAAGACTAACCAAGGATACAATTTCAAATTTAATAACTTAATCTAACCACTATCATAGATATTTAGGGATGGTATTTAGATATGTTTTGAAAATTTATAATCGGATTGTTAATTAGATTCTTTTCGATACTTCTTATTCAAAAAAATACTTTAGAATCTCTTTTGTTTTTTCATTTTCTTAAATTCTCTTAATGTGATTAAATAAAAAAATTTCTATATTGAAGTATCAATCTATTAAATTATCAAGAATTACGTATGGGAATTATTGAAAAGTATTGAAATTTCTGAAAATTTTTGATGTAATACAATTATCTGAAGTAAAAAAGAAATTTACTTAAATCTTGATTTATTCAAACACTTATATTTTTATATTTATAATAAAATTGAACTTAATTCTTAGAAATGCAGAGTATAATGGAATGTGGTTGAGTAAAGAGGAGATTAGTCTTTAATGTTTGAGCTATGTTCAAAGATTAAAATCTTTTCTGATGTTCAATAGTGAAACGAATAATTTTTTTATCATATTAATGTATGATTATTCTTTTGGATATAGATTTGTGATAGCATTAACTGCTTATGGAATTACTCTGGTCAGTTTATGTTATAAGTTCTCCCAGAAATTAAGCAAAGTATTTAAATATTAATGTAAGAGTAAATTCTAATTGGATTAACTTTTGAATTTATAAACAGGATGGGAAGTGGAATTAAAAATAGGAATGAAAAAAAGAAAATGAGTAAATAAATTTAATATTTTTTACTTTAAATCCTAGTTAATTGGAATGAAAAATTTATTATTATTTTTATGTAAAATTAACAATTAGATAAAGAAAAAAATTAAAATTAAAAATAATAATAGAAACAAAAACAGTAACCCCTAATTGATCAGAAGATACCAATGCCACTGAATGAACCTATGAAACCTAAAAAACATTAGAAAAATGAGGAAATCTTATACCGTATGTACACAGGAATGAATGGGTGTGATTTTGAATTTTAAAGCCTATCAGATTCAAAGTTTGATCTAATAAAGAAAACTATAAGAGAGGAAATCAAATGATATAATTAAGAATTAACATCATTAATTATATAGAATAATATTTACAATTTATTTTATTTCTTAAACTCTGTGCATCTTGATCTACAAAAAAGAGGAATGAATTATTTTTTGGAATTGTAGAAAGTTTAATGTGTTTTCTTTAAAATTTAAATCAAATTACTCATAATTAAGAGCTAGATAAAATAAGAATAATTTTTAAATCAAGAGGAAATAAACAAGACATAATAGCATAATTGATTACCAATTAAATTAGAATTACTATGATTTAAAAGAATTGAAATCAAGTTCTAATTATAAAAATTGAGATCAAAAATTCCTTCTTCATTTTTTCAAACTATTAGTTATGAATGGACTGTTACTGTAAATGTGATTTGTAAATAATGATATTATTTTCCATCAGATGAAGATTTAATTGCTACCATTTTGATTCTTAATTAGAATACCAGGGAGAGAGCAAAAAATGAATCAAGAAGGATTTTAACAAATAAAATAGCTGATATCAGATAAAAGGTTGAGAATATTGTTTTATAATGAAGATTATTTTTAATATTTTTATAAGGGATTTTGAGATTATATTTGATAATTTATAAAGTTTATATAAAGATTTAGCTAGATAAAAACAGAGGCAAAAATAAAAATTAGAATGTCTTATTGCTAATTGAGATCATAAATTGAATTCTTTTTTAATTTCAATTTATATGCAGCAATTTTAACATTTTATAAATAATTTTCGTAATATTCTGCGATCCTTTAGAGCTCCATCCTTATTACACAAATTTGCATATCAATAATCCTCTAATCTCTATTCGTGATTCTACACCAGAATTTAAAACATTTATTAATTCTTCTAAACATTTTATATTTTTTATGAAGTTATTAATTAATTTTTAATTCAATCTTAAAGAAAATAATAGAAATTAAATAAATATTAATAAAATGAAATCCTAAAACGAATTTTAACAAAGATCTTTGATTCAGAAGATGAAAAATTAGAGCCATAAGATTTGGAAGTTGAATAATCAGATACCAACAGAACTTAATAAATTAAAATAAAACTTAAAATGAATATTAATTAAGACAACTAAATCTTGTATTATTAGGATGGAGAAGCCATAAGAATGTAGTAAATAAATTATAATTAAAAGAGAAGAATTTAGACCCAATCAAACCTAATAAGATGTGTTAAAAAATTTGGAGTAGTTAAAATTTCTTTTTTAGCATGGAAAATATGGCCAGTATGGAAAGAAAACTGGTTATTGGTATGTTAGTTGGAATGGTTCTGTATTAAATTCAATTGGTGGATATTATGAGGAAGGATAAAAACATGGAAGATGGAATCAATTATTTAAAAATTATCACAAGTAAATATTTTTTTAATAAATGAAGTTCCAACAAAATTTATGAAATTGGAGAATATTGTTATAATCGAAAAATAGGATATTGGAAATATATGTTGAATGATAATTTGATGTAAATTATTATTTCATAATAAGTGGTGGTGAATAATATGATGATGGAGGTCATGAGTTTTAGGTTGGGAAGTGGATTGAATTTGATGATGGATATAACCAATAGAAATAAGTCATGTATGATGGTGAATATATTAATGGTAAGAAAGTTGGTATTTGGAATATTTGGTTTGATATGATAGGATTAAAAATAATATGTAATTTTAGATATATAAAATAAAATTTATGGCGGTGTTCGGGCTTATGATCTTGGAGTTAGAAATGGCTATTTTATTGAGCTTATTGATGGATTTAAATTTTAGTCTTAAGTAATCTATTATGGTGTATATTAAAATTGGAAAAGAGCTGGTAGATGGTTTATACAATATAAGGATATTTCAATGTACGGAAATTATGAAAAAATGTAATTATAAATAATTATCAAATATCATAAATTTAGTGGTGGTGGATTATATGATTAAGAAGGGCAAGGACTTAAAATGGGCAACTGGATTGATTTTAGTGATGAATATAAATGGAATTCTCAAGTAATTTATGTTGGAGGATATATACATGGAAAAAAAGTTGGTAGATGGGAAATTTAATTTAGAAAATCGGATGAAAGGGAATTTAAAAAGATGTAATCATTAACATAAAATAATAATAAATCTTTAGTGGTGTTGGAAAATATGATGAAGTTGGTCAAGAAGAAAAGATTGGTTAATGGATTAATATCGATGGGAACTATAGTGATGATTCATAAGTAACTTATCATGGTGAATATAAAAATGGAAAAAAGGTTGGTAGATGGGATTTTTGGTTTAATTATAATGATCTTGAAAGGGGAAGAAAACACATGTAAATTTATTTATTTATTAAAAAACCTGATTTAGTGGTGGCGGAACTTAGTTAAAACTGGGCAAAGGATTGATATTAGCTAAGAATTTGCAAATTCTTATAATTAACATAAAATGGTGAATATCAACAAGGTAAAAAAGTTGGTAGATGGGATATTTCGTACAAGGAGGAAACTGATAACTGGGGGATTTTTTACATGAATCTAGATTTTCAGAATATTGTTTTTAAGAATAATAGAATTAAAAAAGAAAACAAATTAATGTAATTAATCATTAAAATTAATTATATAGTGGTGGTGGATAATACGATAAGTAAAATCAAGGATTTAAAGTTGGGTTATGGATTGATCTAGGGGATTAATTCAAAAAATATGAATAGGTATTATGTAAAGGAGAATATATTAATGGAAAAAAGGTTGGTGTCTGTAAAGTATTGAAGAAAGATTAAAATGAAAACGATGAAGAATTTAAGTTAGAAAAAAGTAATTTAACATGATAATTGAATTATTATAAATACAAAAAAGTATAAAATTTAGCTTATAGATTGTATTTATCAGATTTTTTATAATTTTTTTATTTAAGAGCTCTAATTTTAGTTATAACCTATATAAATTATATTATTTATAAATTGTTCTCTATACTTAAATAATTCATAATTATTATCTTGGCCTTTAGACTAATTTTCATTAAGTAATTACCTAAATTAATGTTGTTTGTTTTGACCATTTAAAGCTTAAAGATTATTATTAGAAACAAAGATTGTCATCTAAAGTATATAAAAACATTAAAAAATTAACTTTACTTAAATAGTTTCTTAAATAAAGACTATATTTTTCTATATGCTTTTATGAGTGCACTTAAAAATAAAATTTTACACTTAGAACTTCAATTAGTGAATGAAAATAGAATACTTTAAGTGATTAATAAAGTGTAAAATTATTTTTTTAATAATTAATTTATAATTTGAGATATGCTTGTAATCATTAGAAAATGTAAGATGGTGCAGTAACTTGTCTGATTATATAAAATACTCCAAGTTTTGATTGAGCTAATCCTCTAATTTGGTTCTACTTTTAAAAAGAGACTTCCATTATTAAAAGCCATCAATCACTAATTGAATACAAAATACCTGAGGTCATAAAATAATACTAATTGTTGCAGCAATAATAATAAATAATGATATTAATTTATCACCCGCTACTTTCGTGGGTATCTTTTTTAATTGTTGTGTATTCAGTATTTGATCAATAATTCCTGATAAATCGAAAATCTTTAAATAAAGTTAAATTAAGCAAATCCTAAATGTTGAAAGTAGGTTTATAAATTTTATGGAAGTTGTGTGTTAATTTATTTAAAACAATAAAATTTAAAGGTTATCCAACAAATTAAAAAAGAGTTCAACTTCTCCCAATAACACTGATCCACAAATATTATCCCAATAAAGTGGAGAATATAGGTGTTACTATGCTATTTAGACTTGAGTAATGGAGACATCATCAATATATGTGACTTTTGGTATACTACAAGACACTTCTGTTTCAATCTGGGAGTATCCTTCGTTTGAATAAATGACTGAATTATTTAAGAATTTGTGAACTTCTTGGGCAAGTAATATTAATCATCAAAATTAATTGGGATGAATTATTTATAACTCATTTATCTTAAAAGTATTTTGAGTGAGATTAACAGACTGATCCATTTATTAAACATTTTATTGCTCTATATATGAAAAATATAGATAATCTTTAATATGAAATCATCATTTATAACGATGGAAATAGTTTATGATAATTTAAATGATCTGGCTACACTCTAAAATAATGGTTATGGTAATTTGATGATATGATTTAAATGTTTAATCGATTATTACTTACACTATTTAGTAATATATACTTATTTTATATTTTCGATTAATCGTTACATCCATCACCTTTAACAAGATTTCCATCATCACATTCCTCTTTTTTTTATAATGTAATCTCCACATATGTTTAAACATATATATATAATATTTATGATTTTCTATTGTGGAAACTTAGAACTTATACAATTAATAGCTCAATCAAGTAATTCAATTGATTCACCATTTAACGCAATCATTTTTATTTAAGAAATATCTAACTTTGAGTTTAAGACATGAGGATTTTTTTGTTAAAGGATTCAATTAGCATTTTATGCGATTAGTTGGACATTAAAAAAAATTGATTACTTTTGTATTTCATAAGAACAAGAGTAGTTAAAGATCAATCTTACAATTCGAACAACCATATCTATTTCTAGGAGATACATTTATAATTAATTCTTTATACATCATTTCCATCATCATTTTCTTCTCCATAAGTCCACATTTAATCTTTGCAATCTTCATGTTTAGAACTTTC